AGAGAAAAAAGGAAAAATGATAGGAGAACCAAGCGAGCAGGGAAACAGAAGAAGAACAGCGGAAAGCAACAGGGGAAGAAGAGAGACGAGAAGAAGAAACGCAGGACGGAGAGGAAGAAAGCAAGAGGGGAGGAGCCAGCGAGGAGAGAAACAGAAGAAAGAGCAGACAAAGGGAGAGGAAAGAAGAGGGAGGGATCCCCCCACCCACCCACTTCCCTCTCCACGTCGCCCGCCCGCCCCCGCCCCCGCCCCCCCTCTCCCTCGGAAGTGCGGTTCCAACGCCGCCGCTTTGGCTGGAGTCCCGCGTGCGGTACTCTCTCCACTCGCCACCTCCCGATCCCCGCGCCATCGTGCCGCTGCTCTCGTGCAGGCCCAGGTTGCCGAGGTTGCCGCCGTCTCTGGGCACTTCGCCGCCCCATCCGGGCTCGCTGCGACGGGCGCGACGGTCGCAGGCGTCAAGTACATGTTCGTGCGCGGGGAGGAGAACGCCGATATCTACGTCAAGAAGGGTGCGGAGGGCGTCGTCTTTTACAGGTGCAACACCTGCATCATCGTCGGTTACCACAACGACAAGATCCAGCCCGGCCAGTGCTCGGCGACTGTCGCGAAGCTGGGCGACTTTCTCAAGGAGAGCGGCATCTGAGCCACCGGCACGGAGCAGCCCCGGGGGGCGGCGGCGGGACCTAGGGTGTCTCGGTAGCGTTTAGGGGGGGGGGTGGGGGCGGGGTTGCTGGGGCCGCGCAGTGGGTTTGCGGGGCGCGGGTCGGGGAGCGGCAGGGCGTTGCCGAGCGGGAGGCGATTGCATCGCCGACCGGTGGCCCTCGCGCCTCGTCTCACGTTTTCCCCTGCAGGCCCTGCGCCGCGTGTACTCCCCCCTCGCCCGCCCCCTCATCCCGCTCTATGGGTGTCTCTCCTTGGGTGGTGGCCGGGGGGCGGGAAGTGGTGGTCACGAAGGGCCGAGAGGGCGCGACCGCGTGCGCCTCTCCGCGATCGCACGCAGCGCAGCTCTCGGTTTTGAGTGGGCAGCGCAGCCCTGCAGAGAGTTTACTACAGAGGAGCTTTAGATTTTCGCGAAGCCACACGATCAGCGCGCGCACGGCGCAGCCTCGTTTCGGGTTTCGGCCAGGTGCGGGGGCGCCTAGATCTCCGTCTCAGCTCTCACGTCTCGCGGGCCGCTGCCGTGTCCCGTGAAGCGTGATGCGTGAAGTGCAAGTGGGGGGCTCGCTCGAGTATTAACATAAACCACACTACAGAGACGCGACGCGCGCGCCCGCCCCACCCTTTCTCGCGCCTTAACCCGAGAGCGAGACCTTTGGAGAACCTGTGCTGAGCCGGTGCTCTATCGCCCGGCGGCGCTCGCGGGAGGGAGCCCGCGGGCGCCGGCCAAGCGTGCCCCCGTCAGGTCTGCGGTCGCGAGGCCGGTGGCGGTGCGCAAGTCCGCGAACTCGAGCGAGGCGCCGACGAGGGAGGCGCCGTCGAGGGCGACGCGCTGCAGCGACGCGTACCGCAGGTCCGCCCCCTAAGTGTCCGTCGGCGAGAGGTGTCCGTGTCTGATGAGCTTGTGTGCAAAGTGTCTCTGGAAGTGTCTCTGGAAGTGTCTCTGGGAAGTGTCTCTGGGAAGTGTCTCTGCGTGTCTCGGAAGCGTCTCGCGCCTCGAGGACGGCGTTGGAGAGGCTCGTGTCGGAGAGCGAGGCGGAGGCTAGGCTCGCGCCCGTCAGCACCGCGCCGCGCAGGGCGCAGCTCGAGACGGTGGCGTGGCTCAGGTCCGCCTGTTCAAGGCCAGAGCTGTGAAAGAGCCGCCGCTCACACCTCCAGTCAGAGGCAGCGTGGCGTGCTCAGGGCCTCCGCCATCGATCCGCCCTGGACGGTGAGCCGCTCGAGCGAGGTGTGCGCGAGGGTGGCCCGCTCGAGCGAGCAGCCACGCAGGGTGAGGCCGTTGCAGTTCGTGTCCGCGTCGAAGAGAGCTCGCTCGAGGTGGACGCCTGCGTGCAGGCAGCTCGACGAGGATGCTTACTGCGCGGGGGGCTACTGCTGCGGCTACACTGCTGCTGTGCTGCTACTGCTACGGTACGGCGCGGTCGGGGGGTACTCGCCTGTGCAAGCAACACCGTCGCGCCGTCTGTCTTTTGTCGCCAGATCTCGAGAGGGGGGGGGCGCGGGCGCACGGCTGAAGACGGAGAGCCAGAGCGTCGCGCCGCGCCACATCGAGCCGGGAAGCTGGCAGTCAATGACCTAGCAACATGCAATTCCTGACTTCCAAAGTGCAAAGATGGGACTGCTGTGCTGCTACTGCCGCTTAGCTGCTGCTGCTGCTACTGCTGCTGCCGCTGCTGCTGCTACTGCTGCTGCTGACAAGAGTTCGCCTCGGTCTCGGTGAGGTCGGCGTGGTCGAAGATGGCCCCCTCGCCCGCCCGCAGCCCCGCCACCGCCGCCGCGCGCATGTCTGCGCGCGAGAAGTCGGTGGCGGTGACAGTCGCCCCGGTGAGGTCCGCCTCCTCCAAGTCCGCCCTCCTGGAGGGCGCGAGCCAGGGTGTCAGAGAGGGGGTGTGTGGCGGGTGTGTGCGTCGCGTGAGCTCTGCTCTATCTCTGCTCTATCTCTCGGCTGCGGGTCTCTCTAGGCGCTGTGCTTGAAGGATGCGCGAGAGAGGACGGCGCCGGAGAAGTCCGCCTGCTCGTTGATTCCAACGGACGCAGATTCGCATTCACGTGCCCGAGAGACGCGGCTCGGGTGTCTGGGGCTAGGGTCTGGGAGGCGGCTCGTTCACCCCGAAGAGGCGCGCCCACTGCAGCGACGCTCCTGTACGGGGGGGGGGGGGGGCGCCCTCGGCATCGTGAGATGAGAGAGGGTGAGAGGCGAGGGCCACGGCGCGCCTAGAGAGGCTCGCGCC